ATTCAGATGCGGTTAGTCACAATTTTATAGTTCAGCCTGAATAAAGCACCGACAATATGATCGGCATATCAGTCTTGGCATAAAATATTATAAAACCTGATTGATGTAATATTTTAATGATAATATCTACAAAATTTGATCCTTATCTGGTACGAACAAAATGTATAAATACAGTGTTTTGTGCTAAAATCCGGTTGTTTTATACTGTACACAGCATCTTCCTAAGTTGTTATTTATGATGAGATCTTGCAAACTATGAGAATGCTTGAGAAAGGAACGTGTGAGCAACTATAGTGATTAAATGCAACTCATTTGTTATTATGTCTTCAACATATTATGTCTTTTCATCGTGGCAATGATCTTCGAACTTGTGCTTCTTCTGATGTGTGAGAAAGTTTGATTTGAATAACTATGTTATACTAGTCCAGGATTTAAATATTTAAAGAAAAACAAAATCAGCAATAAAATTTAATCTATGGCTTTTATAAAGCATATCATTGGAAAAAAATTGCCGTCACTTCGAAGCACTACTATGTTTTAATGCCGACTGCATAATTTCAAAATTAACTCTGATTAATCAAAGAATATTATTAATATTGATGATATTAATGAATTAATATCGAGGTAATTTATAATCCATTTCCGATCACGATAGTAATGCACTTTAAAATCATTACCCATGTACATTAATATAATCATGATCCATTACACTCTTAGGCTTCATATCGAAGCTCTCAACAATCCGGTTATTTTAAAGCTGTCACCATCTAACATTTAACCCAGGATTGTTTTTGAGAAGTGAATGTATATTTGACATTTAATTATATTTAAAATTATGGTGTATAATTTTCTATAAGTTACATTGGCATAGTCAAAATGTGTCGTTTGCAAATTCTAGGCACTCCTTTGAGTTCAACCTGTAAGCTTATGATTAATGGTTATAAGTAGATACATTATAAATCAAAATACAAAATAAAATATATATCATTTAACATACGAGTATTCATTTTCTTCCCATATACATTTCTGCATATTTCGTTTGTATCATTGTTTAAAGTTAAACGCAATTGAACTATTTAGAGAATGATTAAAAAAATCACTGTTATAAGCATATTCATGAAAATGAATACGATCTATTTGCTACAATTTTAGAATTTCATAAATTGCTTTGTATTGGATTGATCTATCAAATTTTCTTTTTTTTAAGTGTCTTTTTCCTAAAATTCTCATTTTTCTAAATTCTTTTCAACTGTTCTCAATACCAAGATACCGTTGCATTGTCACATAGAATATATTCTCAACGGTGTACACTGCTTGAGACATGAAATTTATGCGAAATGTATTCAAATCAAACAATTTAAATGAAATAAATTATAATAAATGTCTAAATATATCACTTGATTATTCAAATCATCTGTAATCAAATATTTTTATTAGCTCAGACTATCAAAAGTAAATCATGTACTATTTATAAACAAATTTCTACATATGGAGAAGATATTGAGATCTATTGAAACTATGTTTATAGAAAATATTAAAATTTATCTTATTCTTGGCATATGTAAATTCAAAGATGAGTTGAGTTGAGGAAAATAACCTAAAGTTTCTTGGTTTAATATGAACGTGATGTTTGTATATGATACGATATCGTGACTTCATAAATATGCAAGATGTGTCTCACATTTTTTCTCCTTGACACTGAAAAGACATGTATTTTGAAGCTATTGTTAGATTTTAGCGTTACGTAGGTAATTTTGGAATACATATTTTGTAAATTCAAATTGTATAATATTAATTTGCAAAATATAACTGAGCTTTCCTATTATCGTCTATATATTAATTAAAGAATAAATGCACAAATAGAATAATAGCAAAAATAATATGTGAAATTTTCCTAAAATATTAGGTGGTTATAACACTAATTATTCTGTTTACTTAGTATATAATATAATCATCAGTACTTCTCAACAATTTAATATTGACTATAGAAAATAGTTTGTGAAAGCCATGAAGACGAATAGTTTATTTTATTGCAATGTATTAGATTTTTATAATCTAATGTAGGTACCAGAATAAGATGGTAACTAAAAATCAAATTAAAGCGCTATGAGGCAAGAATCAATTACTCTAAAATACATGATAAAAACATATCAGTACTAATAAATATTTTTTGCAAATGGGCAATTAAACATAGATGTTTGTTTAACTTTGCGCAATACACCATGTTTTTCCAAATATTTGACGCAAGGTATTTCATCATTTATTGCAAAGATATTTAAACAAAACACTGATAACAACAGTATCATAAGATCATAAATTATTTGTTGTTATGTATTAACGTGCATAAATATGCTATTTTATATCGATAATTAGTGTCAAGTCTAATTTTAGCATAAACGTTAGCGATGTTTATAAAACACATTGTTCTAATCTAAATTTAGAATAGTGATAAGGATTTTGCCAATATTTGCTAATTGCGGCGCTGAGTGCTGAAATACTTCCATAGTGGAACTCGGCGATATCACATCGCATGACTTGAGTGGCTTCTGGAAAAATTATTCTAGTTATTTTTATAATATAATTTTAGTGTTGTTTAAAAAAACATTAGCTAAAAGTTTGATAATTGTTTTATGTTTAGTTAATCTGTGATATATTTAAATGCTATTGGAAAGTATTCTACTGGTACGTGAGAACGCGAGAAAGTTTAAAAATTCATCCTGATTATGAACTATGCTAATAGAAAGGAATTAAAATTAATTTATAATATTTTGTGTATGATATAGTAATATATCAAAAATGAAAATAAGTTTTAATTTATGAACTTCCGCGCAGTTTTGTACTTGAATTTGGATACATAACATATATCTCTTCATATGATAAAGTAATTTTCACTCATCCAACAATGACACAAAAATCATATGCATATATTACGGGCGTTAATATTACTGCACAATTATTTAATTGAATTTTAGAGAACAAATCATGTTTTGCGTGAGTTGCAATTAGAGCTTTCATGATTAATATTGGTTCTGGCCTTTACTCATCTTATATTTCTCAATTAATACAAAAGGTGATACATATTCAAAGAATGCTTTACAATCTACATATATATAAAAATAAGTCGGGTTTTCCTTCCTGACGATATAACTCCAGAGCGCACGAACCGATTTCGATAATTTTGCATTCGTTGGAAAGTCTCGGGCTCCGCAGGGTTTATAACTTATAAATTAGTGGTAGATGGCATCGTGCCTTAATGCAAATTGCTGGAACTTCACGCACCGTAATTAGAAATTCAAGTAATGACATTAGTGAGAATTATCAGAATTATGCTTCGTTAAGTCAACGAGCAATTCTGCCGCAAAGAATAATGATGTACACGCATTGAATTTCACCATTCAATCAAAAATTGCTGGCGATTTGGTGACATACCAATGATTCCGACTGGTATTCCGTTTGACTTCAAACGATTGCAATTTCCAGTTCGCTTTGCGTTCGCAATGACAATTAACAAGTCGCAAGGCCGATCGCTTAGTGTTTGCGGGATAAATTTCAAATAGATTATTTAGAAAATCATTGTTTTTCACCTGGGCAGTTATACGTTGCGTGTCCACGAGTTGGGAAACCATCCGCTTTGTTTCTGTTAACGTCAGACCAAAAAAGAACAAAAGTGGTTTACTAAAGAGCATTTCAATGAAACGGATAATTATTACTGTTGTGTAATAAAATCAAGTTTTTCCTTTTCAAATATAAAACTTACAAAAAATTTCTTCATCTTTCTCACGAAACCATTTGGTGGCGAAACGGAGTTCGTCGGGTTTGCTAGTTATTTACTAAATAATCCCTAATCGGCACAAAATTAACGAAAATGGAGTCTGATCTATATTATTACAAAATGTAAATATCAATGTTGAGTACTTTCATTGGCAGTATATTGTCAGGTTTAAATCATTAGCTAGCTTTTCCTGAAGCATAAGGATCAGTGATAACTATTTTTTTTTCAATTACATCGATTGGAGGTTTTCTACATAGTTTTCTAGTTAACCCCATAACTACTGCATATAGCAGTATTTTATCTAAATCTTTTATTCCAGAGTGGTGCAGTATGCGCTGGTTCGCCCTTCAGGCGTTGGGGATCATCCTCCAGCTCCCTAAAGTCTCGCTCCACTCCAAGAGCCGCCAGTCGGTACAGAAGACCGACTTCCATTGCGGCATCGGACGATCATGACATGTATACAAAGGTATATAAATTTGGAAAAGTACATCCAAATATTTACTTTTTCAAATTTTAATTTTCGTGATGTATTTATTTGATCCTGACATCCCATCCCGACACATACATATGATAATGCTCAATATTCTTGTGTTTGCTTAGGCTAATGTAGCGTGCATGCTTATATGTTAATAATATATTTTTATACTTTGTATGAGTGTATATAATATATACACTGGTAAATAAATATGTATGTATACTATATATACATATTTATTTACCAGTACATGAGAACCCAAATTTGTTTTCATTAAATTATTTTTTATGTATACATTTGGGAACATATATTTTTTCCCATATCTCAAAGCAGAATTTTCTTTAGTAATTTCTCAATTTACTATAATTTTTTTTCGAAATTTTAAAAATGATAATACTTTTATCAAATGCTAGCAAGATAACGTACAGCAGACGATGGGTCACTAAAGTTTTCCTCACCAAATTGTATGCAGTTTATTTGTGTCGTTACTGATGCAATTATTTATTTATTCGAACATGTCACATATGACGCAGTGAAGAGATAATATTTAAGTTATTTTGTTAAATGATTAATATTCGACGTTCGTCACAAGCATTTCCATAAAGCATAACGAAGTCCGTCAACGTGTAACCCAGATAATTATGAACTGACAAGAAAATTGATTTTTACAATGACGGTATAAGCAACTATCCAAACAGTTAAAGAAAATTATTTTAATGGTGATGTTGAGTAAAGTTTTACAATTATTTTTAGGACCCAGATGGAGCTAGTGAAAGTGATGCCAGTGCCAACGGCGGAAATGGAGGTGTCGCGTCCTGGTCGGTTTCATTTGAGAGACTCCTTGCTGATAATTCGGGAATACACGCGTTTGCGGTAAGTGGCAATTTATTTTCAATATTTTATAACCTTGATTGTAATATAATTACATATTTTCTATGTAAATGAAGTCTTTATCTGTTCATTACATCCTTGTTGAAATGAATCACAAGCATTGTTCACACGCTGTACAAGGACACTTGGAAATTTTATAAGGATTTATAGACACATTTTATTAATGGTATTTGCGAATACTTCAAATTTTCTGTTACCGCTATTTGGAATAACATTGTTTACATTATGTTAAAATATTAGTTAAAGTTAAATTGTTTTTCATGGACTCAGTTAGAGTTCGCTTGGACTAAGATGCATATCCAATATGAATAGTACATCATTCACAAAAGACTTCCAATTTTATAGTTAATTCATTGCATTCCTCGTCCATTGTAGTTGATTTGAATGCATTTTCACAATACGCAATATATTCATTATTACTCATAGATTGCTTGAGTTGTTCAAGCTGCATATCTTTTGCATTTCACTTTCTGCTTTATGAGCGCAAACAAAGACTCGCACTATATCCCTTTGATTGACTTACTTGCGTAATTATAAATTATAGATCTAGTGAAACTAGGAATACATTCTAGAATTAGCATTCTCTAACATTAGTCAAATTGCAAAATAAAATAGTTAATTCAAAATTTGGCAATGTGGTTTCCAAACGAATGCAATTGAATTCCTGGTTTCGAAATTTCTATCACGCGCAGGAAATTATGTGTCGGAAGAATAAAGAATAAAGCTTCTAATTACATAACATATGTTCTTTAGCATTTGATAAAGTACATATAAAATACCACATATATTTAGGAATTTATTTAATATATAACCTTGAATGACACGAGCAAAAAATGGAAAAACTTAAACATTGAAATTCTGTATAATATTTATCAAATAATTCAAAATTGCAAGTGTTATATAGATGTGGTAAAAGCACTAGGCTAAATTGCGGTTTTATAATTCATAAATTATGTGATTAAAATATTTTATATTTCCGAAAATGTGGGCCGCACTATTTACCATAATTTCCACGGGAATCACGGGTTTTAATGAGTAAACAGTAATTGATTATCCTGTTACCATAAAAATTACTAAAGTTACTAATTATTTTGTGACTGCTTAGTCAAATGAACACGTTTTATTATTCTATCACGTTTTAAATGGCACGTTTTATAATTTGCAAATATTTTTATGGGCGTCAAGACATTAATAAGGCTGCAAGGATTCTCGGCTTGCTTACAAAAGTTTTTCAGGTCAATCTTGACCAAATTTACTTGTAACTAATTTCTGCGTGAACCTGGATTAGTTTTTAAATAGCATGCAGTTTCTTGAAAAAGGTCTACATTTTAAATGTAATATTGCCAAGTTAGTTATTTTTAATTATTTGTAGTTGTCTTCAAAGATATTTTTCAATAATTTTTGAAAAACTGAAGTACAGATAAATTAAGTAACTAATAATTGAACATTTAGATATACCGTCAACCCTTAACTGGCAAGTGCGTACCGTGCAGTATGGGGACCGTGCTATAAAAAACTCGTATTTAACATACAATTCAGGCTAATTCCCTTTTGATATGAAGTTACTTGAATCACTCATAGGTTGCGCAAAAAACTTATGGGCTGTTGAACAAAAACCGTGTAATAGAAAGTCCGTGTAGTCGGAGGGATGTCGGATTTTAAGCTGCGCGTAGTATGAGAACTGTGTACCCAGAGTGACGTGTTAATGGAGTGTTGACTGTATATAGATATATAATAGTTAGAATAAATTTTTAATTACCTTTTCAGGAGTTCCTAAAGAAAGAATTTTCGCATGAGAACATCTACTTCTGGACAGCTTGTGAACGCTATCGTCGCCTTGAACGGCAGGCGGACCGCGAGCGAGAAGCTCGGGAAATATTCGATGCTCACCTGGCAGACGGAGCGCTTGAGCCGGTTAACGTCGATGCACAGGCCAGGCAAAGCACCCAGGATGGTCTTGCTACTGCGGATAAAGATCTATTTAGTCAGGTAAATAAAACTTTCTTATTTTTAATAATAAAAGCACTAATACTCTTTGCAATATACTTCTGTTTTCTATTTAATTATACTGCCCAGTATTCAATAGACTAGAAGGAGTCATACCATAACCGCGATTTAATACGACATTATATGTACAATTTTGCCTAACTATTTTTTTTTTCAACTGATTTTATTCATATTCACATTGAAGCTAAATTTTGGTAACATGTTCATACGGCATTTTGACAATCCTAATGAATTCGAGTATTTTTGTAGAAAACTATCTGTAGTGATTAAGGGGTTACATGGGTTTCCTCGGGTCAAAAACAGCATTTTATCAATTATGTTTTTTACATATAGAAAATGAAATTATTAATGATTTTTTTTATTTGAAAGATACATATTTAATAAACATTTTGTAAAATTTTCAAAAAAAAAAATATCAAAATCGCGATGCCATTTCCGGCAGTCCTTCGGAAAAAAAGGTGCCTTCGCGTTGTCAGCAGAACTTCTTTCAGAATCATCCGAAATAAAAATAAAAAATACGTGTTTTAGTAAAGACAATAAACTAGGTATTGGACGAAGGAAAGAAGAAAAAAATGAAAATGGATTTTTGGCAGACGTTTTTATAAAGTTTCGATTAAAATTTCTCGACATTCTTTTTTTTAAATAGTTGTAATTAAACAAAAAGAAAATCCTTCGTTCAATACCTTGTAAACGATATCTCGAAGACCTGTGTAAAATTTCATCAAGATCAGGTGAGTAGATCCTAAGAAATCTTGACAACCGTCTTTGAAAACATAGTTTTGAGCAAAACGCGTTTAAAGTTTTAAGAAACAATAAGATAGACCTCAAGTGTCCACATTTTCAAGGCTGTATCTCCGAAACTATTATTCGGATCAACTTAAAAATAAAAAAGGACAATATTCCAGAGATGTTATAGAATTTAATAAGACAAAAAAAAACTTTAAAAATTTTTTGATTTTTTGAAACCGTGAAACCCATGTAACCCCTTAATACGAACACTATTTTCAATCTAGTTATAAAGAAAAAAATATGTCAGGACGTTTTTGAGAATTTTTTTTATATCGATTTTTAGCAATGATATCGTTTAAAAGTAAATCCGCGTACTGATTGGCTATAATAGAAATATTCACTAGTTTTCTTGAAAGATTTAAAGAGGTAATTCAACTGATTGTTAATAAAAACGAATTCTTTTTAGGCTCAAAAGCAGATCTTCAATTTGATGAAATTCGACAGTTATCCTCGATTTTTGCGTTCAGATCTACACAGACAATGCGTGGCCGCCGAGGCATCACACAAGAGGCTTCCATTTCCCATTGATAATAAGACTGATGAAAAATTAAGAATTAGTTCTGCGCAACAAACTCCATCAAAGGTAATGTAAACTTTACATCGTTTCTTATATGAATTAATTGTGAGTTAAAATTTATTGCCACGATCAATCTTTGTAATATTTCGTTTTATTGCAGTTAAAGAAATCGCTTTCTAATGCTGAAGATCGTCGTCGTAAAAGTTTAATGCCATGGCATCGCAAAACGAGATGTAAATCCAAGGATCGCGGCGAGCAAGACTACAAAGGAGGTCAGGGTAGCGCGCTCGCCAAACAAAGCGCTTTGTCTGCGAGCAACGCGGAGGTGCATAGTTCGGTGGGATCATTAGCTAGCTGGGACGCTGCTCTTAATAAACAGGTATCAAATTTTATTTATTTATGTTTACTAATTTCAACAATCGGATTATAATCTATAATTTATCTATAAGTTAAAAGTGAGAATATTGAAAATCAGGTAAAGAAAGAAAAAATAAAGAATTAGATTAATGGGTTAAAATAGTTGAATAGTAGTAAAAAGTAATAATAATAATAAATAAATTTTATTAATTTTCCGTAGGGCAAGTTAGAAAAAATTGATGTATGTGTGTGTGTGTGTGTATGTGCGTGTGTGTGTGCGGATACAAATTTTCGTCGACGATTTCGAGAACACGGATGAAGCGATTTGAATAATTCAAAAAACATTCGATTTGTATTGGTAAGGAGACGTGCTGATTAGTTTTTGGCGAAGGCAGGTCTAGCCGTTCCGAAGATACGGGGCAAAAATTTCCAAAAACGGTAACTCAGTTTTTAAGAGAACGGTTCGTCCAATTTGAATAATTCAAAAAACATTTTATTTGTATGGACAATATGAAGAATTGGTCAAATATTCATAAAGGCAGGTCTAGCGGTTTCGGAGATCTAATAAAAAATGATCATTACACTTATGCACATCGAATTCAGATATTTTATAGAGATATTTTATAGAATCAGATATTTCATAGAGATTTTAACAATAAGTATAAATTTTGTTTGCATTCCTATGGGTTCCGTACCAATGTTTATTCATTAGACGGCGACGCGGCGCTTTGACATTTTGTTCTCTATGCAGTTAAAGCAGTACGATTGCTTTGAAAAAAAGTTCAGAATTTCCAAAATATGTCAAATTTTTTGCCAAATTCCTAGTTTCTCAAAAATCTAATTTTTTCGAAGTAAATTTTTTTCAAAAATGTTAATCGTTTTAAAAAAAATAATAATATTTGGTACGGGAAGTTCCAGCAATTTGCCTTAAGGCACGATGCCCTAATTGCCTTACGACAGAATTCCACTTACAGCTAGTTCAAAATTTTAGATCTGAACAAATTAAGTTCATATTTTTAGAGTAATGATTCAATTTCCATTATTCTAACAGCATTAATTAATTGAACATTTATTTGAAAAGGAAAAAAATGGAAATTTTAGTACGCGCAAAATTTTGTATTACAAAGGTAATTTTTTTACGATTCATTGGATAATGTTCACATTTTGGCATATCAAGGCTATTATGAGTAGGAAATAGAGAAGTTGGAGGTACTATATCATTTTATCAGGTTTTATTTTTGCCAATGAAAGGAGAAACATATCGAATGCGTTAATTGCATACCAAAATTTTGATATAACCCACTTAAAAATAACTTTACCAATTTTCATTTGACTAATCAAGCAATATTATTATTAAAAATTTGTATTTGAAAATTGAGGATATTTTGATATGCGCTCCTTTTTGGAAACAATGTATTAGAAAGGTCTTTTTCTTATTTTTTGTCTAATTTTTCATACCATTCATTGAATAAGATCCGCATTTCAATATTTAGGACTTTTACGAATTTAAAATAGTGAAATTATAGTTCTATACAATTTTACCAATTTCTTTTTTAATCAAGGAACAGCTTAAATATAGATAAAATACGTTATATTTAAAATTATTTTTTATAACATTATATCATATACTTAAAATATTTTTTCTCAAATATTAATCGGTTTTCATATCAGACTAGTAAATTCATCTTCAACATTCAATTCTTCTGCGGATGAAACTGATTACATTAATTAAACATTTATAAAGTAACCCTTAAGGCTTAGTTTTAATTTTTTCTTATTTGCATAAAATACTTTCAATAATACATTTCTTTATTTTAATTACAATATTAAGCAAATTTTATTAAATCTGCAGCTGGAGAGTCCTTTCGATGACACCCAGATACCAGATGCGATGCCTAACAGATGTACTTTATGTCGCGTTGTTTTATCGGATGAATCGACTGCTTTACTTCAAACCCAACCAAATGATTCTGTTAGACAACTCATTGATAGATTATTGGAAAAACGTGGCATTCGATATAGAGCTTATGAAGTTCATATTTCTGGAACTAATAAGGTACATCCATTTGCACCATTTGCACCGTTGTAAAATAATTTGCAATGAACGATTTATTTTATTAAACAGCGCTTCTTTCTCACAAAAGCTTTAAAATCTATGCATGTCATTAAATTATATTTAAAATTATTTTTAATATTTATATATTTCTAAACAAATACTTTCTCTTATTTACAGCCAATAAATGTGATAGATTCATCGAGAATTTTAGCTGGCAAAGTTGTTGTTGTAGAACAAAGAGTAGTTTTCAAATTGGATTTACCGAATAAAAAAGTCATCTCTGTGAAGAGCAAGATAACGAAAACGTTAGGCGAAGTTTTAAGGCCAATTTTGCACAAATACAATTACAAACTCGATCTTGTTCAGGTAAATATATTATACTATATCCATTTGGAAAAAAATAACTTTTTTAAAATGCACGAATTGGTTAATTGGATTCTAGCTTTGAATATGTAAATAAAATGTAAAATCATATAGCTTATTAATTAATTTTTATCTTGTATTTACAGGTGTTTTTAAAAGCTGAAGCAACTGAAAGTCTTGATATGTCAAAATCAGTGTTAGTGGCAGATGGCCAGAGACTTCTCGTCCAATGCAGACCGGAAGGTATTTATACAGCCATCAAATACTAAAGAATTGATCATAATTTTTTAATTATGAATATATATTTTTTTTAAGGTTGGATCGGTGAAGTAACACAGATAAGTACAGCAGGCATTTTGGGAAGTTCTGCAGCAAGATTAAAGTTAGAAATGAGTATGAATACAAACCCAAGAAACTTTCGCTGAAGGTGCCTCTCTCAATGAAATTACCAATCGAGTTTTCGAAGAGTTACTTCAAGGCAAATCTGAAGCACAGAATCTCAAAGTCAAATCTTTAGACCAGCATTCAATAAAAGTAAAAATAATTTTATTACATTCATTTTTAATTTTATTTCACCAAATATCTTGTAACTTATTTGACTCGTTTTCTAACAGTCTGAAGATTGTGGATCGGAAACTTCATCTGGAATATTCAGTCGGTTTCTAAGAAGGGATTCTAATATGCCTTCGAAATGGCTAATGGGCTTTCTAAGAAATATAACAATTTACATCAAAAACTAACAAAGTGCCACTTCCAGAGGAACAAGCTACGGAATCTCGGAAGCCTCTCATAGCCAAATGGAAACCAGGTGCTAAATTACAAGTTACTGGAAGACAATCAGAAAGTGATGGTAAATATAAAGCTTGTGTAATTTATTTTATAAAAATAATATATGATACTAATAATTTGTGAATTTTTAGAACTTCTAGAAGGACTAAACAGAGCACAGAGGGCGCGTCTAGAGGATCAAAGAGGAACTGAAATAAATTTCGAGTTGCCTGATTTTTTGAAGGATGGAGATAATTTGCAATCCTGTTCAAAACTACGAAAAATTTTAAACACAGATAACGACGGCGCCGAATCAAATGTAACGAGTGCCGATAATCCTGACACGTCTAAATGCAAAAATCCAAATGATGTTCCCACTCCCAGCATTAGACTATCTCCTGGACACAAGCCTAATCCCGCACCTAGGTTATCTATAGGTAGAGTTCAGAATTGCCAAGTAAGCTTGAAGATAGACGAACAAGCGAATCACAAGTTCAAATCAAAATAAATGCTCTTGAAAAATGCTCAAGTGCAGGCCACATTTCTTCTAGTTCATTCATGTTAAATAACAATTTTCCAAGATCACCAGTAAAATCTGCTAACAATCCTGATAAAAGTTTTGTGTATGCAGATAATAAAAACAAAATCTTTTGAAGATCAAAAATGATTAAAGATTATGTTAATCAGAATCAAATTAGTACTAATGAAGGATTGCAAATGATATTTAAATTGTAGTTTTCAAAGTAATTCTAGTAGTGATAGTGATAAATTAAAAAGTGCCTCCGATCCACCCCCTTTGCCTCCAAAACCAAAAGTACTACCAATGAAGCCATCTAACTGGGGTCAAAATTTACAGACAATTTCATCTGAAGCTCAATTGAAAACTCCCCAAGAACGTTTGAGGAGCTCAAATACAGAAAATATATTAAAGCGAGCTATTTACTTAGATCAACATAATAGTAGTTTTGTTTGATGGAAATTATATTTAATGAATTATCATTGCAGACATATATTAAAATAATTATTCTTTTGTTGTAAGATATTAATTATATTACAAATCAAATTGACAACAGAAGCTATTTCAAATTACATGTATAGATATATTTTGAGATAATTGAAAACTGGTGTATGCGTTTCTGTTGATTTTTGATTGAATTCATTGAATGAATGTTGTAATGAATGAAGAAGTAATTATATTAAATTATAATCACATGCAGTATATGTATTTGAATAGAAATCATTATCTAGATATATTTTTTCATTAAAGTTCTTCACATATAAATTTTTTATGATGTTTACTAAAATTATAACTAGACTGACTTATCGCTTTGAGATATGAATATTAGAATATATCATTATT